TGCAAATTGTGGGTGGTGAGGGGTTTTTTTTGAGGGTATTGGGAAAGTCTTTACCAGTAGGAGAGGTGGGCTTCCAATTCAGGCTTTTAGATCTTAACTTCTTGTGAGTTTTAAGAACTGTCAAATACATCAGTTCCATATTAAAGATCCAGATGAGTTTTAATGCTTCTGAAGGTCTCTTGTTTGTGCTAAACTTTGCTATATGTATGTGAAGTGATACTTGCTACAATTAATTCCGGCACCCCAAAGACCTCTGGCTTGGCTGGAAAAACATATCTGATTTTGGACTTTGGCCTACTAAGTTGCTCTGAATGAAATGCTTAAGTTGCCTGAAGCAGACAAAGTGAATATTTATTTTATTATTGCTACAGATAACAACTTTAAGCCTGGGAATTTGCAGTTATTCAGTAAACAGTATACTTATCTATAGTCAAAATAACTGGTTGTTTGCTATGCTTGGCAGTGTTTTAAAAATACTTGGTTTTCTGTTAGTTAGGAGAATAAATGCATTTTATAAATGTTAGGATTTAGGGGGGGAAATGCTACTTAGTAGTAAGCTTTGAGAACTAAAGCTTGCTGATCTCAAGTGCAGTCTAGATTTAAAGGCTATAGTCTTGCTTTCTTTTCACATTCCTTGAAATGCTGTTTCTCTATTTTACTATTTTAAGTTGGTTCAAATGTTAGGATTTAGGGGGGGAAATGCTACTTAGTAGTAAGCTTTGAGAACTAAAGCTTGCTGATCTCAAGTGCAGTCTAGATTTGAAGGCTATTAGTCTTGCTTTCTTTTCACATTCCTTGTTGATGGTTGCTTTGAAATGCCTGTCTCTCTATTTTACTATTTTAAGTTGGTTTTTGAATAATTCTGTTCCTGGAAAGAATTAATCAGCTGAAAATGAATATTTCCTTGTAGTCTGGGGTGAGTGCAGGTTTGCTCACTGAGGGGTAGTAACCATCCCAGTGCTGCTGGACAGCTGAATGTGTAAGCCCTCCCTGTCCTGGAAGTGTGAAAGTCATCATGACGATGATGAGAGAAGAAGAGAAGGCGGATGTCTTTGTACCTCTTATTCTCGGGGGGAGTCCCGAGGCTGCCAGCAGAGAGGCTCTGTGCAGGTAGGGCATGTCCGTGCAGCTCCTGCCAGCGTGCCCGACGGTGCAGCTGTCACTGGAACAGCCCGGTGCCAGCCCGGTGCCAGCCCGGTGCCAGCCGATCCCCTCTGCACCCCAAACAGCTGCAGGGCTGATGGAAGCCTCGTGCCGTCCTTCGGTTCCTGTTGCCTCTGCCTTTGCAGTGGGGCCACGCCCTGGCTCTTCGGGCTGGGGCACAGCGACTAATTAAAAACTGCTGCTGAGAAATGAGCCATCAGATATGTTTTAATAATTATTTTAGGGTGCTGAATACTACACTATTGCTGTAGTTCATGGAGTAATTGGTATTTACATATTCTGACTTGCCTTAATGGTGTAAAAATTTATTCTTTCTTGGTGGAACTTAAAATAGAGGAATATAAATCCCTGAGGCATTAGTCAGTTGAGAACATAGACTATTTTTAGTATTTTTTTTTTTTCAGAAAATTATTTTCTGTGACAAGTTATGAGTTTGAAATAAACAACCTGATTCCATTACTTCTTCAGGCATCTGTTAACCTTAATTTGGCTTTTTTCCTTGCTTGTTTTGTTGTTTGGGAGGTGTCTATGTGTATTGTCATAAATGTTTTTACTGTGTATTTTATATATTTGAAAGGGTATTGAAGAAGTGTGCTACAAAAGGAAGCACTTGGATCAGGGCATAGTAGGGATCCAAAATGAAACTGATCTCTTGGAATTAACTCATGTTTTTGCTGTATATAGATCTTGAAAGTCCATGCAGCTCAACTGCGTTCTTTGGATTTTAATATATGTAGGGCTTCTGTCACTGGAAAGGCTACAGCAATGTTCTTAGTAATATTTTTACAGCTCAACTGTAGCTTATGGGTGTGTCTTCCCATTCAGTTTTTCTTTGTTGGACATGGCATCTCTTCAGTTCTATTTTATTTTGACTAAAGCTTGCAAGTGCTGCTTTTCTCACCCACTTGCTCCAGCAGGTCAAGAAGTGCTACATTATTTACTGTAATAAAAAGATTATTGTATTGAGTTAGAAATATCATTAAAACTGGCAGAACTCCTGAGTTACTAGCAAGCAATTCAAATTGATAGTTTTTAGAAAAAAACTAATATTTGAGTTTGTTTTTGTTCCACCATGAATTCAGAGCTGTGAGTTGGTTTGTGTTTTTTGTTAAGGAAGCTTTTTTTGGTAGGAATTAGATGATGTGTTAATACTCCTTAAATATATATTGTTGGATGAGGTCCAGTAAAAGTTTGTAAAGGTGAATAATAAGTGATAAGATCTGTGTAAAAGAGGTTTCCTGAGGTTTGGCTGGCATGAACTCAGCCTTGTTGGAAGATAAACCCATTCTACTAAATTAGTTTTTTTCATAGTGAAAGGAAGGCTAGACAGGAGTCACATACATGGAAGACTTAATGATAAAACAAAATTGCAGGACTATTTATCCATCAGGATGAAAAATATTACAACTGATACAGGAGAGAACAACTTGTATGCTGCAGTACATGAGTCAAGGATAAATCTTGCTCAGGCTGGTAAATAGCAGTTAGCTGGTTCAGTGCTGACTGTGGTTTGTCCTTGTCTTGGAAAAGCACAGTGCTGGCTGCCTGAGCTCATATCTGATGAAAAACGACAGCATATTGTAAGGTGATAAATTCTGTTCTGCAGGTTTCACAATCAGGGATCAGTCTCGGAGCAGGTACTGAAATTTATGGCTTCAGGCTGCTTTGTCTGCTATATCCTGGTAATTAACCTTGTGGAGGAGTCAAGGCCAAGGGTTTAAGTTTACTCGGTGATCCCTGTGAAATGGGCATAATTAAACAAATAATTTTGAACTAATAAATGCTATGGTTTTTCATCCTTTTTGTCCTCAAATTATTGTATGGCATAGCTGGAGCCTGAACAGCAGCCACTAAATAAATTCCAGGAATGGGTGTGAATGCAGTGGCTGAGCTGATTGCTATTGCACCTTGAAGTTTTCTTCTTTATTTCTGCCATTATTATGGCAATGGAATTTGTATTTTTGTTATAAATTTCTCAAGTTGTAGTCCTTCTGTGCTGTGTCTTACAGAAGTGTATTTTCAAGATTCCTGTTGAAAGTCTGTCACAGATTTAATCTTTTATGAACAGGTCTGTTCCCTTTTAGCTTTGCCAAGCAGCAGGAAAATGCTCAAGGGCCTGAATGGTTTATGTAGCTTGCAGTGTGAAGCATGATAGCAATGTTCACTGTGGGAGTAAAACCTCAGGTCTTTATTTAAAGTGCTGAGGTGTACCTTGGGGATTGAATACTGGGAATGGGGAGAGGACCTTGACAGTAGCTGTTCTTTATTTTCTTCAAGGCGCTCCCTCTTTCCGTGTGTGGTTTGCTTGTTTGGATTTTTCCCTTGTCTTGTGCACTACGTTTTTTTTGACTGAGCAAACAGAGACCTTGCTGTTCCTGTGTCCTCCCACGCAATGTTTGTACAGCAGGGTGGGTTTCCATATCTTCTGTTCCCTTGCCTGTGTCACCCCTTTATCAGCAGGCAAGTGCTGCTCATCATGAACTATATTGTGGATGTAGCAGGAGAAAGTGTGGGAGATGAGATTAGAAGATGAAATGGAGGCTGGGTTGAGGGAATGGTTGGGAAAGGTAACTTTCTGTGTTAATATTTCTGAATTTAGAGTACTGGCCAACGGAGGCTCAAATGAACTGTGGAAAAGGTGGTGATCAGGGACGTTTCTGAACATGAGAAGTCAGTGTGTTTACAGCTCTAGTTTGCCTGGAATCAAACCAGTCTGGGAAAATTTCCCCTTGGAAAAGCCCTGGATAAATACAGTGTTCAAAAGAAGCAAGTGGAACATTTTTATATAGAAACTAGCATTTTATTTTTTTTTTGCAGGCTGATGAGGTTGGCTGTTTTTAATCAACCTCAGCTTTCATAGCCAAAAGGCTCTTTTAATCTTGCATTTTTTTCCAATTTGAAATGAGCGTTCGGTATGGGATTAAAAGCAATCAGACTTGCTAAGAAAAACAAAACCTACCCCATTGCTTCTCACCCTGTACCACAGAAAAAAAAAAATTTTTGCCTTAAATTTGTACCTAAAGCTTTATTGAAAAAGGCATCTTAGAATCTTTTTGAGTACCGTCTTTATTGTATTTACATGTAAAGCTAAAAAATAACTAAAAATAGAATTATGGTTGTACCTGAAGAAATAACACTAATTTCAGTGTTGTAATAATTTGTATATTAAAATGTACACATTGACATTATGCATGCTAAGAATCTAGGTTGTGAGGGTTCTTTTGTTGGTTTTTGAGTGACATAGTAATAATTGCTTTTTTTTTATTTTTCTGTGCTTTATTACACAAAGCCCATTTTTTAATTAGAGAGGCTCTGAAGTGTGCCAGGCTGCCTTCTGTTGAGTTTTTATAATGTTATTTTTATTCTGCTGGCCTCCCTGCCCTTCCATGTTCAGGTACCTGGCCGGAGGTGGCAGCGTGGGCTTGGGGCTGTGCAGCTCCAGCCTCTGGCAGTTGTGTGGCCAGGAGGGAGAGGAAGATGCCTGCTCGTTTTTCCAGCAGCAGAGGGACAATAGTGTTTTGCATTTTCTCAGCCTTGTGAGTCTGGGGTCAGTCTTTGCATAGCTAACAGCAGGCATTGCTTTTCTACTGCTGAGAAGCTGCATTTACTTGTTTATTCATTCTGTTAGATGCTACAAACTGGAGCAGAACTAAAGTAGGGTTGTTATAACTTTTGTTGTGCTCTGTTCATTGCAGTTTCTGTTAGTTCATTTCTCGCTCTTTAAATTTAAATGAGTATTGCAGCCTGAAGTCCAAACAGTTAAGTAAATTGCAGATTTCCTAGTTTTATTTCCTTGTTAAAAAAGAAAACCACAAAAAGGTGTTTCTCCATTTCAGTGTTGCTGTGCAATAGAGCCATGCAAACCAGAAAGGAAGTTAATGTGATCATGCAAAATGAGAACAATTTCACAAGAACAGCACCCCTGCCAACTCAAACCAAATCTAAAACAAAATTCCACAACTGAAACCCAAAACACAGCAAAACATGCCAGATGCAAAAGGTAGTGCTTTATGGGAAAGAGGGGGGAAAAATGGGATAATTTACACAGCAATTCTAAAAATAGAATGTGGCTTGTCATTAAAAATAACCTTCAAAAAGGTAACACTCATTGTAGATATTTTTCTTCGTAGTTACTTTTACCATTCTTCCTGGTAGCTGTTCTGTTTCAAATAAGGCCCTTGTATTCTGGAAGCCAGTTTTCATTTTGTCCTTCATTTAACTGTTCTTCCTTTTTGACCTCCACGTCTATTTTGGACAGCTAATGACTTTGTGCACTTCTGTGCTGACAGAGGCACTATCCATTTTGAGAGACTCAGTTTGTTCTAGTGATCGTATCCTATCAGTGAAACCTTCATATTTTATGGCAGTGCTGTAAGCATGAAAGTGTATCCCTTCTGCTTCTTACTCTGACCTTGCAATTCTGCAGATGTTTGCATGTAGGTGCCTTCTAAAAACTTCTTTGTCAGATGATTTTCTACTCTTCGTTGATAAGACAGTTCTGTATGGGCTGGAAACTTCTGGAGGTTTTAATAGCACAGTAAAGGAAGCAAGTTCAAGTAATACATCCTTAACAGCATAATAGACCAAGCAGTAAGTAGCAACTGCAACAAATAAGAAAAATAGTATGAGGAGTGACTCTACAACTGTTTAGCTATCTGTTTATTAGACAGGAAATGGGAAGAGGTTTTTAAGGGAAAAGCCAGGACAAAGTGTGCAGGTTATGTCTAAATTTTGGTAACTGGCTACTGCATACATGTTTCCTCTTAGTGTTATGTGGTGTAATGAGTGAAGCATTACAGAAAATAACTGTATCACACATCCTTTGCAGATCTCTGCAATGAGTTACCCGGGCTATCCCCCAGCGGGTGGATACCCACCAGCTGCCCCAGGTAAGTTGTTCAGATGAAGTAAACATTAAATGCAGTGGTGGTCCTATCTGCAGAGGAAACATGAAGATGGATGAAGAACAAGACTGTGGAGGGTTTCCTTGACTCCCCACAGCTTTCTGTACTTGCTTGTTAAATCCTGTTTTATTTGGGCTGGGGATTCTGATTTGTCTAATATGTGTGTTCTGCCATGTGCTCATATAGTAATGTCCAGTTTCAATCATCTGAAATAAAGCACAGAGCATTAGGACATGGTCTTAACTTGACCAAATCCAATAAATGACAAGGATCAATGGTTGATACTGAGTTTTCAAGGTGGGTAGTGAGACAAATAAATATGGGGAGAAATTATTCATAGAGCTTAAAACCATATACCCCAATGAAATAGGAAATTATCCTTAGTTCACTATTCTTAGGGAGATGGTTGTGTACTGTTAAAAAGGGTAGCAATTAATAATAACATAAAGCTGATTAAATACTCAACTATTTCTTGGTTATCAAGCTGAACTTTACCATTGTTAGTGTTGTTGTAAGGTGGAAAGAAAGGACTGGAGTCATGCAGGTATGGTGAAATGGCGTTAGGCAGGCTGGCTCAGGATGGGGGAGCACTGTACAGTGAGAAGCCTGACTAGCCAGGAGGGTAAAGCCTATTTCTCAGCAGAGTATTCTGTCTTAAGACCATACTGCTATGTGCAGACAGGTTTTATGACTTTGGTACCTGTAAATGTACTGTTGTGCTCTGTGGACACCTCTCAAATTAGCAAAGTAAGTGGAATTAATAATATCTTCCTACTGGAATACCCAGACAACTTTGTACTTTAGGTTCTCTCAAATCAAAACATGGTGTTAACAGTCTTACGTGTTAACCTTTAAATAGGTTTAGAGTTGTTTTAAGTGAGAACTTACAGATTCAGTGATAACTAACATGATTAGAAATACCCAGTGAGACTTCTCTTTTTATAATAATTGCACTGCTGCCCTGCACCTCTTCAGTTGATTTTCCTAGTAGTGTTGAAAATACATTGCATTAGAAATTTAAGGAGTAAGAACTTTAAAAAGGCATAGTTTCTTGTTTCAGCACATCTGTGTTTGATTTCAGGTAGCAGTCCTTGGGGTGGTGCTGCCTATCCACCTTCAAATCCACCTCCAATTGGTCTGGAAAATGTGACTGGCTATGCCAACCAGTTCAATCCCAGCCACATGGCTGGAATGGTGAGTTTGCTTTCATTTAATGTGTTCTGCTGTGATTTCCTTAAGGGCAAGGGTGTGCTTCTGGAATTGTCACTGAGAGGAATTGTCACTGAGAGATTCATCACTTGAATTCTGTGCCTTTATGTGTAATTTGTTTAGGTGTTGAGCATTCAATATGGCCTATTGAAGAAAATGGTTACTGCAAGCTATTTCTTATTTTAGGAAAACAGAGCAGTAGTTAAATGTTAACAGTCAAACTTCAAAAGTTGTGGGCATAAAACTAATATAACTTGGCATTTGCGTGTAGAGGAATAGGGAACTATTAACACAGAGTAGCCACTGTTAATATATTCACATGGGCAAACACAGTCTAGATTTTGCCTATTACCTGGATTTTGACTAGTCAGAGTAAGGAAAAAAGCTGTATAATTAGAGGTATCAATGATTCATCCTTGAAAAGAATATGGGATCAACAGCCTCTTACAAACACTGATGTTTAACAGATGGAAGTAAAAACCTTTTATATTCACTGAAGAAAATGTAGACGTTTCCAATGTGATTTTTTTTCATAGAGCAAAGTGAGTGACACTTCTGACAACTTTAGTCTTCAGAAATCTGTTATGCTGCATAACGAATACAGTTTATAGGAAGATATTTGCATTATGGATGTTCTTCTGAGGCAGTGATTAAATGAAGTGATTTGGCAGCCAACAGGCAAATTGAACAACAAGCTGTCTAGGATGCACGAGGCAATATCCACAGCAACTAGTTTCTGGCAGTGCTGCAGTCATCCAATGTCACTTCTGGTTTCTCTCTAGAAGAGGGGTTTCAGTGATAAGATTTTGATGTGGAGTGGAATATCTTCATTTCAGTTTCTACGGAAGTCTTTCCAAATGTAGTCCAGGAACTCCTGCTAGTTGTCAACTACTAACACATGGTAAAACAGCCCAAGGTTGCTTAAAGTCCTTGCATCCAGGTGCACTCTTGTTTATCACACAAAAGAGCTATGGGCAAAGAAAGGATTATTTGGTGTAAAATTTTAGGCAGATTTTTCCATCCTGCTTGCTATCTTCTGCAGATGAGTTATCTGTGTTGGTGGGGAGGGAGGTTGTATTGTGTTAAGCATATTACTGAAACTCAGCTGTTTGTGCTCCTTCCTGTCTCTTGTTTTATTGCTGTCATTGCAGGCATCCAACCTGGCAGGGACCTTTGGAGGGACAAATTTACCACAAAGCATGTATCCTTCCACACCTGGGGGTTATCCACCAGTTCCTCCAGGTGGCTTTGGGCAGCCCCCGCCAGGACAACAGCCGTCGTACGGAGGGTACGCTCCACCTGGGGGAAATCCCCCATCGGGAATGCCACCCTACCCAGGGTACGCGGGCGGCCCTGTGCCAGGCCAGCCCACACCACCGCCTGCTCAGCAGCCCATGGGCTATCCAGGACTTCCAGCAACACACCCAGGGCAGCAGCCCATGCCAAGTTATCCAGCAGGTCCAGCTGTGAACCCGTCTGTGCCCTCTTACTCAGGAGCTACAGGGCCTGCAGTCACTCCTGGAACAGTAAGAGCATTCACTGCTTTTCTTTTGAGGTGTGACTGTTTATGTGTTCCTCTGCATTTTCTTTGTGTGTATTAGTGTAAACTGATCACAAAATTGAAAGTTATGAGAAGAAGTTTGAGTAAAAAGAGAGATGAAACCTTTTCAAATGTAAGCAGTATAGCCTCATATGCCTTGAAACAAATTGTGTTTTACCATGGTATCCAAGAAAAAAAGTTTGATATGAATTCAAATTAATTAATCTTGCCTTTCCTAACTTTAGCAAGTATTGCCAGTTGTATATACAGTATTATCAAACCTTAATTAATTTAAAAGCAGATTTAATGTCAGCAAGCCTTGATCTTGCATTTTCTTGTAATTTGTATCTAGAAAATTAGCAAATTGCTTGAGGCAGAGTTGGTTTGAGTTTTCTCTATTACTTTTCTCACAAAAAGAAAACTGGTAAGTGATCATCTTTCTTAAGTAGTAAACCACAGTATTTCACTAGTTTACACTAATACGCTGTTAACACTACCATTGTGTAACACTCTTGATCTCATTTTAGCACAGAAACCGAGGTACAATCACTGATGCACCGGGCTTTGACCCTCTGAAGGATGCAGAAGTCTTAAGGAAGGCCATGAAAGGATTCGGTAAGCAGTCTGAGGTTTGCATTTCATTTAAAAATAGAATTGCATCTACATTCAGCACTGATAATTTTCTATTGCTATGTGTGTACTGAGTGGGACTGAGTGTGTACTGAATCCTTGGTTATTAGAAGTATTACTGGAAGTTCATGTGGGCATAAACAATATCATGAGTTTGGTTCAGTTTTTCTTTGTATTCTTACTGTCTAAGCTCAAAGTTCTGTGGCTGTACACAAGAGTAGATACTGTAGATGAATTCAAGACATTCATGTCCTTCTGCTGGTTTTAGAACAGGATGAAATAGAGACAGAAAAGCTGAATCCTCTCGTGAGGTGATGCTCACTCATTCTGTGGTGTCTGTGTGTGCATACAGGAACCGATGAGCAGGCGATCATCGATTGTCTTGGAAGTCGTTCAAACAAGCAAAGGCAGCAGATAATCCTGTCCTTCAAAACAGCTTATGGAAAGGTAAGTACATTGTGGGAACAGAAGGAAGAAAAAATTAGAGCCATTATCCCTTCAGTGGCAGTCAGAAGACTTAGTGGTGGGAGAAAAAGATTGGAAGGTGCATTAGGGGAAGATGGTTCTTAAGTCATAGCCAGTTCAGAGTTCTACTTTTTACCCACACTTGACTTCTTCATGCAGTGTTGCAGATGAAACTTGTAAAGCAGTTTCTAAATGGTTGCTTTGACTCTTGAATCTGTGCAGTCTATTTAATTGGACCTTAATGGCCTCAATGTAGACATACCATTATGCTGTGTTTAGTGTTAAATGGAATAGCTTTACTTTGGGCATACGTTACTGGTGCTTATGCATAAAGAATTCTTAGTAAAATGTGTATTTTTGGTGCTTGCTTTTTTCAAGTTTGGTCTTTATGCATTTTTTCCTTGTTTTTCCTTTTCATTAGGATTTGATCAAGGATCTCAAGTCTGAGCTCTCAGGTAACTTTGAGAGGACAATCTTGGCAATGATGAAGACACCTGTCATGTTTGATGCTTATGAAATCAAGGAAGCTATAAAGGTTTGTGTAGGAGATACAGATTTATAACCTAGAGGAAATAGTTGAGCTGATAAAATACTTGGTTGCCATTTAAAGGTTTGGATTTATTTGGGATTTGCTTGCTTTGATTTCCTGTACAAGTTTATATCCTGAATTTTTTTCCTATGTAATTTTGTTACATTTCTTTTGTATTAGGCTGTAGAAATCAAGAATCTGAAGTGTTTCTCCTTTGTTTTAGGGTGTTGGCACAGATGAAAATTGTCTCATTGAAATCTTAGCTTCCCGCAGTAATGAGCATATTCAGGAACTCAACAGGGTCTATAAAGCAGGTTTGTTCTGTTGCATCAAAATTTTCTCACTTTTCTTACTCAATCACTGACTGATAGCAAGAATTTAGGAAATTAGTGTGGTTGTATGAGGATTCATGACTATCTCTTTTCCAGAATATAAGAAAACTCTGGAGGAAGCAATAAAAAGTGACACGTCTGGACACTTTCAGAGGCTTTTAATTTCACTTGCTCAGGTACTTGCCTGCTGGGACTTTGGAATTTTTTTGTTGTGTTTTTGTGGGTGGTGTGGATTTTGGTTTGTTTTTTTTTTAATAGGCTGTAGAAATCAAGAATCTGAAGTGTTTCTCCTTTGTTTTAGGGTGTTGGCACAGATGAAAATTGTCTCATTGAAATCTTAGCTTCCCGCAGTAATGAGCATATTCAGGAACTCAACAGGGTCTATAAAGCAGGTTTGTTCTGTTGCATCAAAATTTTCTCACTTTTCTTACTCAATCACTGACTGATAGCAAGAATTTAGGAAATTAGTGTGGTTGTATGAGGATTCATGACTATCTCTTTTCCAGAATATAAGAAAACTCTGGAGGAAGCAATAAAAAGTGACACGTCTGGACACTTTCAGAGGCTTTTAATTTCACTTGCTCAGGTACTTGCCTGCTGGGACTTTGGAATTTTTTTGTTGTGTGTTTGTGGGTGGTGTGGATTTTGTTGTTTTTTTTTTTTTAAATTTCAAAAAAAGGCAGCCCATCAAAGCCCACCAGTAATACTTCTGGATCTTCTAATTCTTTCAGGGAAACAGAGATGAAAGTACAAATGTTGACATGTCTGTTGTCCAAAGAGATGTACAGGTCAGTAGAAGTGCTTCATAATTTCTAAGTATAGTCAGTTGAATACACTGAAATTTGGCTGTGTGGATTGTGCTTACTGTTAGTTTTGGACACCTTGTGATGATTTCTGATGCAGTGCTTATCTTTGAGTGCATGGAAGAGATACAAAAAGCTGTGACAGAGCATTAGAGACATGTAGGTGCAGTGCAGAGATGAAGCTCTTGGCGCTACAGATCACAGGATATTTTACCTCTCATTCTGTCAGGTCTTTGGCTTCTCCAAGTGTTGGATTGTGCTGCTTTCTAAGGAAATTGTCCAAAGAGAGGTGATATGTGCGTGGATTAAATTTTAAACTATTCAACACCTGCATTAGCCTTTGCATGTTGTTTAAGGAAGTCTGGAGTTTTGCAGTAAATAGTGCACTTAGACCTTATAATGCTTGCCCCATTTCTTTTTCTCTATGTTCCATTTCACTGCATAGCAAAGGGAAAAACCCAGATTGTTTTAGCCATACTAGTGTCATTTAAATATCAATGTCATTAGCTTTCTACATAGTGTGCCTTAGCCAACACAAGAATGTACCAGAGCACATCTAGAATTGTAGAAGAAAAGCTAGATGTAAGGACTGTTAGGAAGAACAATTTTCAGGTACTCCTTGAACAATGTCCCCTCCTTTAGTAATCCAGAGCTCTTGTGTTGGAGCACTTCTGCATCAGCAAGCTGGGAAGACTGCAAGCATAACATATTATAAGAAGGTTAGAACTAGTTGCTATTTATTGCTTGCTCCTGTTTTGCAGTAGTATGTAGGCTAAGAAATAAGTAAAAAAGCAGGAGAGGCTGCAGGGAAGCAAATTTGTAACTCAGCTGTTCAGCCTGACTACTTTTCTGAGTAATGAAGTGTGAATTCCCTTCCGTGCTCAGGAGTTGTATGCAGCTGGAGAGAACCGTCTAGGAACTGATGAATCCAAATTCAATGCCATTCTGTGTGCAAGAAGCAGGGCCCACCTTAGAGCAGGTAATGATGTCCTATGTGAACTGTAACTTGATTCTGTTGTGTGTAATGATAAAAATGTACAGCGCTGCTCTGTGCCTGAATTTCCTCCATCTGTAAAATGAGCCCAACAAGATACCAATGAAAAGCAGGATGAATTCTGCTGAGGAAAAGCAAGAGTCACCTTTCTTAGATATCAGAGCAGGTAGAGGTCATACTTGTTCAAATGATCCTCTGATTAAAGAATTGAAAAACTAGAATTGTTTCAGTCTTGCATACTTGTGTGTGCAAGACACTTAAAATGCTTCCCCTTTCACTTGCTAATGTAAGGTGCTACATCAGTCTGTCGTGGTGGAAATGTTTTGGTAACTACATAGAACGTTCACTTTGTGCTATTGGGATGCAAGGTACTTATATAAAGGAAAGGGGTGTGTATGAGGACCAGAATATTTTCTTCTTAACGTTATTGATACGTGAAGCTTTCCTAAAAAATTGCTGTGCTTTCTTGGTCTAGCCATTTAATGAAAAGGACACATCTAGGCAAGCGAGAAGGAGCATGATAACATGTAAATGGTTGATAGCACAGTATTAATCCTTGAGATGTTCAAACTAGAGTGAGTACACTGTGTGTATCCAGCTGAGAAGTGCCACTGAAATGAAGCCACTGAGCACATTCCAGTGCCACCTCTTGCTGTAGAACTGGAATCCTTCTTTTCCATCTAGTCTTCAGCGAGTACCAGAGGATGTGTAACCGGGACATCGAAAGCAGCATATGCCGCGAGATGTCTGGGGACCTGGAGATGGGCATGCTGGCAGTAGGTATGTGCCACTTTAGCAAGTTCATTCCTGCCATTCTGCTACAGCTGGCTTCAGCTAAGCATGTTCTTATTTGTGGTAATTCCAGTTTTCTGCTTTTTGTGTTGAGCTTTCTGTGAAGCCGTTCGTGATTAGTAAAGTGGAGCACTTAATTCACCTCCAAATGACAGATGAAGCTTTTTTTTTTATTTCAGGCAGCTGCAGAATTTTAATTTTACATGTTAAAATGGGGAGAGAATTATTAATTATAATTGACACTATTTTAAGAAGTGAACTTTACCAACTTCTGGGTCAGTGAGAAGGGAGAATTTGAGACCATTTTGGAAATCCAACATTAATTAAAATACAGGCATTAACCCTCTAATTACTTACTTCTACCTCTATTTAGTAGAAAGAGAACTTAAATTTCATTGCAAAGGGGTTTTTTTTCCCACATTTCCTGTGGCTACAATTTTATTAAATCTTTGTTTTTATTTGCTCTCAGTACTTCTGAGGAGTGAAAACTCTTACTTCAGGTCTACTGTTGTCTCTTCAGAAGCAGTCATTTGTTTCCATGAAGTTGGGACAAGTTGCTGTGCAGTAGTTTTATTTAAAATGCTTTATTATAGATATAACTGTGAGCCACTTTCCTGTCTTTTGTCTTTACATCTCAATTTCTTTTTCTGTTTATTACTGTAAATATACTGTGGTATCTAGAGCTCCTGCTTTAAAAATGTTGTTCTTTGGTTTTGAATATGGTAGTAATGTAACCAAACCCAAAAACTCTTACCAAAATAGGAAAAATGGACTTTGCATCACTTGGAAATGAGATAGGAGAGGATATTTGGTTCAACCACAACAGATTTTTTTCACTGAAGTTTGTAACAAAATCTTGGCAAAATGAAAATCAATTTTAAAAGCCTCATTTTTTCACTCCTGCCTTGTGCATGTAACAAGTAACTATGTAACTACTGTTCTTACTCTGCTTGGCCACACTGTCATTGTAATGATCTTGTAATGACACACACTGGATCTAGCTCATTGTGTCTGATTGTTTTGCAAACCTTTTCCAGGATTCAAACTTTGTCACTTCAGAAACTGTTGTTAGAAAACCAAGGTCAGGGAAAAGATATTTCTCTGTTTGTAGAACAACATTGCCTTGGTAAAGAAACCGCTCAGCATTTAGAAGGCATTTGACTTCATGGAGCTTCATAGTGACTTGACAGGTCTCCATGTAGGTCCAGACTCAAAACTGAGGCTGTAGCTGGCAGACAAGTCAATAGCCTTTTGAGCAATGTTCACTGAGTAACTCCCTTTATTAAATAGATTTTGTGGGGTTTTTGTTTATATGTATATACACATTATCTATATCAGTAAATTAATGCCATTTGTTCTGTGGACCTTAATTGCAGGAAAAAAAAAATTTCTAATTGAAAATATTTAATTTTGCTTTCTTTAAAGCTTTCTGGATTGTACAACTGGTAACTTACAACAATATCTTTAAACATCTTAGAATGCAGGTGTGTTGTGTTAGCTACATAGAGTGATACAGAAACATGCATTTCATTTTGTCATTCATTTTTGAATGGTATTGTACATATCATTGACAGTTTTGTGGTGAACTACTATCTCTCATCTACATTTTCCTACTGAGAAAAGTACTTCTTCCTATACAGAATGTGTGTTGCTATGAAAAACATGTTTGGATTTACACCTTGAGTTCTGTATTGATTCTGTGTGTTTAATTTTGATACCTTACTGTGCTAATAAATGTCAAGTGTGGTCTGTTTCCTCTGTAGTTTGCCACAGTTTGCATGATTGTTTACTTGTAACAATGTTGTATCAATATATAGATTTTAATTCTGATTAGTGATGGAGGATTCTTTCATTATCCTGATTAACATGACAGTAATTTGACTTGGATTTTGCTCTTTAAGATTTCTGATGAACTATGCTAATTAAATATAGCATCTAGTCATTACTAAATGAGCATGTTAAAAATTTTTCAGGAGTCCTGATGAACTTTGTGGCTAAAATAAGACTTTAATATAAGGGTTGTGATGACTTACCCTTAAGGAGAAGGAACCACCTAAGAGTCTCTGCTGTCGTAGGTGGTGTCCTAATTTGTACTAGGGCAGGACTTGAATTTGTCACACCTTGCGGATGCATGGCCTAAAAATTTAGAATTAAGAAGTCAGGAGCACCACTACTTATGTATTACTTCAAGTCTTCTGCCTGCTCCTCATCACCTCTTTTCCCTTCACAGACAAAAATCTGGTCATTAGAATTCAAAGATTCATTATGGCTGCTTCACACTAGGTGGTTTCTAGTGACAGAAATGTTTGCTCTGAGCCATGCAGTGTAGGTTTTTTAACTGTATTGCAGTTACTGTTTGGATTAAAAATAATTTCACTGACTAATGGAAGGAGTGGAAGCTGCATTGTATCAAGTGTATATTTATGTAAAATTCAAGCATGTGACTATGTTGGATAAACTCACAAAATCACTGACTTCTGACTGAGGAGGAGTGCTTTATTTCTGTAATACTGTTCCTCTGTTCCTTTTTGCAGTTAAGTGTCTCAAGAACACGCCAGCTTTTTTTGCAGAGAGATTACATAAAGCAATGAAGGTAGGTGTCTGTCACAAGTTACATAAACTTATAGTGTGGAGTTTTTTTAAATGCTTGTACAGCTCTTGGGAAGGAGCTGTGCAGCTGAGGGATTACATTTTTCAGTGGGCAGATGACTAACAGTCATGATGCAGTCATTATTGTGAAAGGCTGGAAAAATCTAGCTAATTTGATCCAGCTTAACAGAGCAATGAATATAACCATGCATTAAACAATAATCTTCACTTGGTGAAACACAAATATTCTTAAAACTCATTGGAATTGATACTTTTTAAGTAGGTAATTCTAGCAGAAATAAGTAGGCCATTTAACTCACCAAATTTTCCTGACCCTCCTGTATCTCTGTCAATCCCTCTTTTTTTGAGGCGTTCTTGTGCAGTGAAATTAGTGTCCTGCCACTAAATTGAATTTATTTTAGCATGATAGGCTAAATTCTGTTCAAGCTTGTTAAGTCAGTGGGGTTATGCTAGTAAACAGGCATTTTATTTTTTTTGCTGGTGCTCTACCATACACTTTCCAGTACATTATGCTGCTGCTTTGCTTGTTTCAGGGAGCAGGAACAAAGGACAGGACGCTGATCCGGATCATGGTATCGCGCAGCGAGGTCGACCTGCTGGACATACGTGCGGAGTACAAGCGGATGTATGGCAGATCCCTCTACTCAGATATCACTGTAAGCCCTGGAGACCCTACCTGCCCTGCCATGACACCCCTTACGCTGGCAGCACACTGCTCTTGTGCTGAGCAGCTGTTACCTGCACTGAGTGTGGCTGGCTGAGTTGGATTGCTGCATTTGCCAGCAGCATGCAGGCTGAGGGCCAGAGGATGGGAGAGTGCTTTGGTTTGCATGGGGGCTTGATGAACTAGAGATGGGGAGGAAGCTCACAGGCAGGGAAGGAAAGGGAAAATGGGTCCAGAGGGTTTCTGAGGTCCCTCTGTCCCAATCTCCTTATATGACCTTGTGGGAACCACTCAGTCCTCCAGCTGAGTAACAGTGGTGCTCTACTTCATTTGTGTGTTGGAAGAATATAAAGCTTCTAAAAATCTTCTAAAGGATTGCCCCCTCTTTCTCTTGAAAGTACAAGACTTTGCAAATAGACTGAACTTCAGATTTACTAGCAGTTGATCCACCCTCCTACTGCTATTAAGAGCTGTACCAACAGCCCAGAGGATGCCTGGCCAATGATAGGGTAATAAGAACTGGGGAGAGTAAGTGGTGCCACTTTCATTTACCTTGGAATGAGGATGCCAAACCTGTTAAGCCCCTGTTTATTCCTTCTGCTGTGGACACTGAGGGGCTGTAACTTAGTGGTGTTTGGAAAGAATCCTGTGGAGATTCTAGAGAATAGCATGTTCCAAATGTTTCTTCTACAGTAGTTACATGCCCTGTAACCAACCACCAATGTATGAGTAAAAAGTAGTGAGACCTTGGTGAAAAAACTCTGTATTGCTTCTTCCCCCTGTTCCTCTTTTGATCTGGCATTTCAATTTATCATTCAGAAGCAGAACAGGCCATATCTATTTAATGGACTGAATTTGGTCAAAACTTGGCTTCAGTAATATGGGGTGTCCACAGTTAGGTATATGTAAGCTCTGCTGCTTATTTCTGTAAAAGTAGAGCCAAAAATATCCCTGGAAAGAAAGTTCTTAGTTTTTCAGCTGTAGCTTAATCACTTTGGGTTGTTCTTCAACTTTTCTTTTTCTGGGTTCCTTTTCAGGGTGATACTTCAGGAGACTACCGGAAAATCCTACTCAAGTTGTGTGGTGGAAATGACTAAATGGAGCCATGAGCTTTTCTTAAAAAAAGCTGCCCTTTTCATGTACTTGCTGCAAAGCATCTTTTTTCTCCATAAGTAAATATGTAATGACCAGTTTCTTCTAAAGCAATTGCATTTAAAATATAATACTGCATATATCTTCAGTTCAAAAGTAGTAGGTAATAAATGCCAAGCCCCCCCAAAATACCAAGCATATGTGCCATCTGCTCAGGATTCTGTGTAGTACCCTCAGCAATCCATGAATGGTCATTATTTCTTTTCTGCTTATATCATGTTGAAATAATGTTTGTTTAATGAAACTAAATCACAGTTGTATGATTTTAAGGTGTTCTTTTGTATAAACATTGAGTGCCATTTTAATGCAAGTTTTAGATCTGTTGTATGTAGAGTTGGCTTTGGGCTAGCCCTCTTCCTGATATGTGGAGGTAGCAGCCTCAAGGTTTTGTGTCTAGCTAAGACTACTTTAAAGAAGTTTTGTCAAGTTCTGTTTTTTTACCTTGATTCTTTTCAAGGTAGATATGTTCCACATTTCATTCTTTCTAAGGCAGACTGTCAGAAGGCAGGAGTAATGTTGACAGTAGTAAAGATTCTGTCATTAATGTTTAAAGGTTTCGGATTGTGCCTTAAAAAAAAATATATATATATGTAAGAAGAGATTATGAAATTAAACCTAAGTCTTTGCAGACTGTGCCTTTTGGTGTTCATATTGATGTATGTGAGTGATAACTCAGTTTATGTAACTTAGCTTTTCCACAGAAGTTCTCTTCCACAAGATTATTCAGAAATTGTTGTTTTGAATAGAGTTTGGAAGTTGTGTACTGTTGATGAGCAATTGTCTGTACATGAGACATGTAATCTGTAGTTATTCCTCAGTATTTTCATTTTGCATGTTGTAATTTCTCTTACTCTTGGAACTCTGGGTTTTTATTCCCTGCTGGCATGGATGACGTCTCTTCAGCCTGTTGTTCTCAAAATAAAAGCATGTAAAGGTAAAAAGTACAAAGTGGGGGAAAGGTTTTCAAACTAGGTCAGTGAAAATAGGTTGCTTGTTAATCAGGAACATGCAAACTCCCCTTACTGAAGTACATACATGTAAGTGTTCTCCCTCTGTTGTGTAATGGTCAAGCAGGTCCTTTTTCCTAGAAGTTGTATTGCTGTTTGTCTTGAAAGAAAAGGCAGTGTTGTGGATTTAATTCTGGATTGCATTTGTCACCATGGCAAGGGAAGATTACAGAATACGGTAGTCATGTGTCCAAATGATGGATTCTGACTGGAACTTGCTGACAGGACTCCCGTTTTGGTCGTTGGCAGCAGTGTCCAAAGGCAGACCATACACTTATTTCTGTAAGACAATTTGAGTGTGTCTTGAGGGGAATTTGCAGCTGGAAGTCTATCGTTGTTGACTGAAACCAATAGCAAGAGTTCACTTCTTTGCAAGGGAAGGAGGAAGCTTTTGAATTAAGGGAAGTTTGTAGATGTGCTTTAGTTCTGAATACCACCTGAACTTGTTTTCTTACTGACAATGCTGTATTTGAAACACTGGTTTGACAAAGTAGGGCTCCTGAAAGATTTAGAATGCAAAGTTTAAAACTGTGTCTGAAAGCAAATATCTTTTTATTATAAAGCACAGCAACACAGAAGACAAACTACAGCTGAGGATTGTTCACCCTGCACGAATTCTGGAAACACAAACTTATTAAATGATCAGAAGTGCAACTGCTTATGACAACCACACTGTTACATTCAGCTGTCTTCTGTCTTCACAGTGCTCAGCTGGTATCTGTATAGGGAAGAGTTGATGTGATTATTTTTGGTTATGAGATCAAGATCAATCTTTGAGGATAAATCTCTTTTAAAACATGAATCTTGCTACCCTAAAGTGGGGAATTGTCACTTTGATTCACAAAATCATAGAAGGAAGGTCCAATCTGTAGTTCTCGAGCAATTTGGCAGTGCTTTACTGGAATACTTTGCACTCTTACTGGAATACCCACTTCCATTGCAGTGGAGTAACTTAGTTGTTAACTGCCCCTCACAGAAAACTGTAAACTTCAATGGATAACAAAGTCGATGAGGACAGTATCAATAACGGTAACCAGATCCTTACAACCAACTGCAAGAACAAAAGACTAGCATAAACTCAACTGCTGTCTACTTCAAGCCCTACTTGCATCACGTAAGTGCACTGTAGTGTGCCCAGGTATAGCTTCCTTAAATGAACAAACAGCACCGGCAAAACTGATTCATAAACATGTCTGTGGATGCTTTTATCTGTCCACAAGTGGTTTATTTTCCACCAAGAGTGTCTCACCTTGTTAAATGCACTGTTGAAATTTGGGCAGAGGATGAAGGGTATAGAGCGTTATAAGAAAGTGAGTAGAATAGGTGGTCTCATCCAACTAATTTCTGTTGTGGTTTAATTTATTCCAAAAACGTTTATCCAGGAAGATGTTTTGTGTGAGTGGCTTAAATGTCAAAGTTGGATTTAGGATATCAAAATGGCAATACTTCCAATTTTGTAAAATTTTGATGCCATCCCTTATTTTGTCACACATGAAGCTAAAGAATCAAGGATCTTAAATCTGGAAGGGACTTTGAGGTAACTTTGTCTGTTCTGCTGTTCTAAGGTAAGTTGTTTCTTTTTCTCCCACCCCTCTCTTTAGTGGTTGTTGAAATCTGATTTTCGAAATTGGACCTGCTGTTGGGGTCTTGAGGCCTTAGCTACCCTGAGCTGAATTAGTTCACATCTTTAGAGAGAAAATATGGCATATTTAATAATAACATATGTAACCCTTTTTTCAACTTAGGTTATACCCGACGAGATACTGACCATCAAAAACGTCTATAAGTGGAACTTCTGTTCCTGGAACACTGGGGATATTCAGTGTTGTCTCACTGATGATGTTGAGGAGTGATTTGACTTCTGATTCTAGGTGCTCCACTGTTTTTATTACCTTCTGATGGAAACAAGGGAGACAAATAGAGAAAAAAGGTAGTCAAAGGGTCAAGTGGAAGGAATTGCACCAGATGTGTTTACGGAAATGTAAACCTCATGTCCTGTAATGCCAACAGTTAATTTAATCCGTAATGCGCATTGCAGGTTTAAACATTCCTTGTGTTCTGCTGGCCTCTAGTGGCACCAAGAAGTGCACTTGGTTTTGCAAGAGTTACGTTACAGCAGCCCTGTATAAAGAAGAATTTGACTTCTTGGAGCTTTGCATTAGTTTGTTTTTAATTCTTTCTCATTTCGGAGAGAAATGCAATAAAAGAATCTGCATGGACGATGAGAGGAGCTGATGGGGTGGAAAGATGAGGGCTGAGACTAGAGTAGAAGAGAAGTAATGTTCCAGTTTGACAACCACAGCATGAAGTTTGGGAACTACCCAGCTGAGAAATAACAGGTTAGTTAAGCTGAGTTAACAGGTATCTTGTGAGTGCTTAAGACACCAGGGGGAGGAAAAAAAAAATGAAACTTTGCGGCTTTCCTGGAATCCCCATCATAGAGCTCATTTAGCTCTTAAGTGTCAGCAGGGGTGAGCAGAAACTTCTCTATCAGTGTTGGGGTTTCCTACAGAACTCACATCTACTCATAAGCCAGTGTGAAACTTTACAAATACAGATTATCAGATTTTTAGATTAAAGGCACAGATTAGAATGTTTAGATTATAAATATTCTAGAAAAGGCTGATATATATAATAAATTGTTAATCAGTTTTTGGGAATTCATCAAGATTATATATTTCTGGTGATAATGGCTTTATGGATAGTTATAAACTATGACATCTGAAAAAGAAGTCCAACCTTGACTAGAAGTCCAGAAGGGACGCTGTCTAGAAACATCCTTTTTCTTTGGTCAAAAGGACAGGACAGAGGTCTGGCAAGGTTCAGGAGCCGGCACAATCCCTCTTACCTCTTCAATAGTATCTAAGCGTTCATGGAGCATATGTTCATTACACCAGGTTCCTCTTTCCAAACTTCCAGGTACCATACTGACAGGATCAGCAGCAGCTGGAAATAAGACAGTTAATTGGCAGAGAGTTAATAGCAGTCCTTGCCTTTCTGACTTCTGAAGTGTTATTTTACATGCTACACAGCATTGTTGACGAACCAAATGTAGGAATTGAACTTCTTTTCTAATAACTACAGCTTGACCCAGTACTTGCCTGCACATGTCATGTTGGTTGGAACAAGGCGTTTTCTCTTGCCACGGGTGTTTGTTTTGGTTTGTCTGTGTGTGTTTGTTTTGCATAATCTATTTTTTCCTACATGTGTAGGGTAAGTTTATAGGCGGTGACTCTGTCTCTCCTACGTGTAAAACCTAGCTGTTGGGAAGATCTGCCTTACACAACAGTTCCTCGTAGACTTTCTTCAGAAGCAGCTGGTGCTGTAAAACTTAAAGACTAGCTAAGCTTATCCACTTTCCAAATGGATGCTGATGATTCCTCTGTGCCAGAAAGTTGTCCCACACAGTCTGACTTTGCAATGGGAAGGGAAACAATATTGTTTTACTGCTGAGCACATTTGCTGACTTTGCTAGATACAAAGTCACATATCCCTGTCAGTTGTCTGTGTTTACCTGTCAATACTCATGATCTCTTGCTCTTCGAGCTTTTCATTCTGCTGGCTGTGCTCCATGAAAGGTCAGTAGCTGCTGATGTCTATGCTTTAGTGGAGCCTATTTGCTTTTCATAATTTCTGTGCAGCATTCAGTAACATTTAAATTTCCAAATGTGTGCAGAGGACTGTAGTGGATTATTCTAAACTGTGCTAAAGTGAGAACTTATCTTCCTGCATGTAAAGTTAGGTTTTGCTCTCGTTTGATGCTTGAAGCAGCTATGATAATGAGGAAGCAGCAGTAACTCATTCTGTCATTGTTTGATTGTAATGAAGACAAAACTGAGCTTGTGTTATAATGAACAGTAAGACACACAAGAGCAGTAAGTAATTCTGTCTTCAGTGCTGCTGTGCCAGAGCAGTGGTTTGGAACTGCTGCAGTGCTTCATCTCCAACCTGTGCCAAGATTTCTGGAGTGTAGGCGTCAGGTGATGGCAAACACGTGTCAGTAAGGATCACTGCAGTTTGGGGGCAATGAGAGATGTACTCTGAGTTGGGATGGCATCCTTGAAATTGGAGAGTGGAGGATGGAGAGGAGGAGGGATTCCAAAGTGACGTGACTTGCTGAGCATTATTTAGAAATTGGTTTGGCAGATTTGGTTGGGTGTTTTTTTAGTGCAGTCACCACAAGGTGGTGCTGTTAGGACAGAATCCCGAAGACTTCGTCTACCTGTTTACAGGTATTACTGGTATTTCAACACCAGCTGCTCTGCCCTTTTTTCCCCTCTTTGCTGCTAGTGGTGGTGGTTTATGAGTGTTGTCACTGTCTTAGTGGTAAAATGAACCGTGCTATTTCCAAAATTTTTGCTTCTTTATATGTTTTTTTTTTTTTCATCATGACTGCAACAGTGTGGAGATGCTGAAATTGTGGTGGCTGATTCTCTAGGCAGGTGTCTGTAGGTAGGGAGGTTAGATATGGTGGATGACATTTGTTCAAAGCACACGTGTACATACCGTGATAGGTATGTAAAGCCAATGTAAGGTTGTTGCATCTTACCAGGAGCTTTGCAAAGCACTGCACAGCTTTGTGCATCTAGAAAATGAGGTAAAGGGCTTGCTAGGAGACACAGGACTCAGTAGCTCCTGGTTCCTTGGGGTGGTGTGTTCCTCTCCTGGCACAGAGGGAGACAGCTCTCCATCACTCACAGTGCTTTGCTGCCTTACCAGCTGTAATGGGTGTACTGAAGGAGGACCAAGTCCTAGTTTGACAGGGCTATAAGATATCACTCAGAACCACAGAATTAGTGCAGTGCCTAAAACTTTGACAAACAAGCCAAGCCTTAGTGTCTCAGGAAGCACCTGACAGCTGATGTTAGCAAGGCTAAGGGTTAGTATAAGCAAAAGCATGTCTAGTTGTAGACCACACAGTATGGAGCTGTGAGAGG